CTCAAAAATTACAAAACAATTAGTCACAGATCACAAATATATTTTACTAATAATAATAATGTTAACTATAATTTAAATAATTTCTTTGTGTATATAAATTGCAATTTGAAAGGAGCAAATAAATCTTGTCTTGTCTTGTCTTGTCTTGCTGCTTAACTTTGTCTGAAAGAAAAGGGATGATAACAGCTCTTCCAGTAAAATTCCACATGGACGGTGTGAATTCTTTAAAAATCCTTAAATGCTTTCTTTTGCCTTTGTAAATGTTAATGTTATCCATTAGCAATATTATGGCGATGTCAGTAGGTGTAAGTTTCTTTATGTGTTCTTTCATTTTGATCATTCAGTCATCAAGAACTTGCATCGCTTTCTTCCAGCTGACAGTTAAACCAATATGATTCAGCATACCAACAAATCTCATTCCAGCCCCATGAGATATACATAGCAGAGTAAATAATATCTTAAAATCATTTGTGATCTTTTGACTGCGTAGACTACATAAAATTGCAAGGGCATGGCTTGCACTGTGGACTCTTCTACCAGTTTTCACACTCCCATCACTTGAAACTAACAGGAGACTTCCAACAATTTCAAAAAGTAAAGGACAATCTTCACTTAACTTAGTTGATAAGGTCGAAAACAACGATCCATCTATCTCAATTTCAGTTTTAGTGGTAAGACCAAGATTCAACATTGTCTTAAATGTCTCAACCTCACTTGAAATATCTGCTTTGAGTGTTTCTGGGAGTTGACGCACTTGATTTTGTTCAATCAACTTTTCAATTTCTTTCTCGTATACACCAATTAATCCATCTGTGTACTTGCTTAAGTCATTGTTCATCTTTTTCTGTCGATCTAATAACACTCGCACATAATCACTATCCAATTCTTCCTTTTCCATTTCTTTTTCCATTTTTTTGATGTATACATATTTGTTCACCTTGCAGTTGTCTAATTGCATTCTTAATGTTATCTACAGCACTGTTCTCAGCAAAAACAATTTTGGGGTTGTCAGCATCTGATGAAATAGAACATTTTTTCTGTATATTATAATAAACACGTTGCCTTGATGCATCCGCACTAATCCTACAACATTCAACATCTGGCAACTCTTTTGATATTGCTTTAGAAAGCCTTTGTGCATCACTAGGCTTTAAACCAAGAGTCTGCAACATGTCAGACTGTGTGACTTTTTTACCAATGTTTATCTCATAATTTTCATTTATTAAAGAAACTAAGGAAATCCTTCTCTTCTTAATTTGAAAACCCGATACTTTTGAATGACTTGTTTCAACATTAGAGAAACTTGTAGAAGGCAAGGAGGGGTCTGATTGTGTGGCTTGTCGTTTTGATGAAGGCTCTATTTCTTTGGCAGATGGTGTCAAAGGGTGCTTCTTAGATAGAGATTTCTCTTTGACTGGTGTAGATTCCCTGCTGGTCAAATTGATGACATCTAAAATATAGTAATGAATAGTAATGAATACAGTGTATCACCATGTACAACCCAGCTTTATAGGCCAGTATGAGTGTGAGTGAGCTTTTAGAATATGGGCGTATGTTTTGGATTGTAGTGTAAATATTATGCAATCTGCAGCCTTAACGTATGGCCATGCACTATGGGCCAATCCCAAATTAAGATAAATCAAGATAATTTGGGATATCATAACAGAATTCAATAATTGTTTTTTTATATATGCATTGCATTTTATAACTTTCGACAAGCAATGATTTGTCTCACAAAACAACATGTTTGATTCTCAAAAAAGCAGCAAAAACAATTTAAAATACCACAATAACAGCATAAAATATTAGAAATCTGATTTACTTGCTAAAATTCCGATAAAAATATCAAAAAGGTTTGCTTTTTTCACCAAAAAAATAAAAACCCGCTGTTCTTTCATGTTGTTTTATCTTGTTTTTATTTATGCATTTAACCCATTGAGTGGCAGCACTCTTCCCATGAACAGTAAAAACATCTGACATTACACAAAGTAAAATAATAAAGTATGGCGCATCTGGGCGCATTGCCACTTAAAGGGCTAAACTGCCACTTGCTATAAAATTTACGCTAGCAAATACGGTTTACAACTTTACGCTAGCAAAGTTTCTGTGATCTCAGTAGGAATTTTACATGGATAAATTATAAGTTTTGAAGAGTTTTGAATTAATGTTTCAGGAAACTGACTTTGTGTTTATCAATGAATCATTTTCCTAAAACATTTATTACTAATCTTTCAAAACGTAGAATTTACCCATATAAAATTCCTACTGCATATGTGATCACAGAAACTTTGCTAGTGTAAACCTTTAATCCCTGTTGTGACGTCGTCAAAGCTACCGTTAATGAGATAAAAAATTTATCCAAGATGGTTGACATCTCATTACTTCAAGTGAAAATATTTCAAGAACTAAGCAAGATATGAAGAATCATATGGGGCCTGTTGTTCAAAGCTGGGTTGACTTAACTCTAGGTTAACCTAAAATTCAAAGCAAACTTCCTGACAGCTTGTCTATAAATTTGGAAATATTTCTTCAGAGATCATGTCTGGATCGAAAGGAGTTTACTTCTCTGAAGCTTTGTAATAAACAGACGTGCAGAAATACACAAACTAAAACAGCAGGTTAAATTTTAACCCAGGTTTAGCAATAACCCACCTTTGAACAACCGGCCCCAGAGCTTCCCCATTGACAAGTAAAATCGTCTGGCGTTTGTCAAAAAAAAGTAGGGTACACTGGGGTGCATTGTGGCTTAATGGGTTAAATAGTTTTAAAAGTTCGTTTAATTAAAAAATAAAATAAAAAATATATTTCCCTTTAAGACTCATGCTAATTTATTTAAAATGTTTGAAACTACCTATTGAAAATTTCCATGTGTTCATAAATGTGTCTCTACATTTGTTTTACACTTAATGTATCTACTCTAAAAGGTCTTGTTTTCCTAAGATTGCAACATTCCACCATTTACTTTCATTAAAGGGTATATGCAGTGACTACAATTAACAAATATAAAACATTTTCCGTGTTGATATACAGTTATATCAACACGAGTGGAAATTGGGAAAACGAGAAATTGTGTGGAAACACGACGCCCGAAGGGCGGAGTGTTTTCACACAATTTCGAGTTTTCCCAACTTCCACGAGTGTTGATATAACTATATATCAATACGGAAAAAATGTTTTATATTTGTTTTATAATATAGCAATGTCAAAAGCCCGAAGAATAAGAACAATTTCCATGTTACAAGTGGCGGAAAATTTCCCGTGTTGACATGGAGTTATATCAACACGGCTCTTAGCCAATCAGCATTCAGAATTTACAAATGCTATATTATAATGTATAATAATACATTATGTAATATAGTGCTAGCTCCATCTATGTATGGGTTGTAAGCCTGTAAAGCTGGAAGATTTAATTAAAGATTGTTATTACACCATATGTAAAATAAAATATGCACTTTAACCTATTTGTAAAGTATAACTCAAACAAAATTGAGGCAAGTAAAATAGTAAATAAATTAATGGCAAAAAGAGAGGTGAGCAAACCCAGTTTCCAAGCCATCTCACGTTCCTGAGATGAAATTCATCTGTGTTAACATGAGACAGTTAAGGCATAAAAATACATTTAACCCATTGAGGGGTAAAATCATCTGACATTAGACAGAGTCAAATAATAAATTTATGGCAAGTGTAATGATTTGATTTTGTTTTAAGTATTCGAGTAAAAATTGAAGTGGTCTAATTGCTGCATGAGCATCAAGTTTCATTCTCTTTATATCAAGCAATATTGGACAGACTTCTATGGTGGCCCAGGTGTGCCACGTACTTTTTTGTTTATGAAATCCAATTTTAACTTGATTTCAATTTTAATTTCAATTTAATTTCAATTCAATTCTAATTTCAATATAGTTTTAATTTAGTTTATTTTTATTATTTTTTTAGTTTATTTTTTTTATTTATTTATTTTATTATTTATTATATAGTTTTAATTTAGTATTAATTTAATTCAGTTTAATTGTTTTTTAAAAAAAAATAAAATGAATTGAAAATAATACGTGGCCCAGGCGTGCCATTCCGGGGGGGACGTAACTC